AGTGGGTGGAGCAGGTGAGGGCGGTGGTGGGAGGAGGGGGTGGATTTTGTGGAGGTTAGTGGGGGGAGTTATGAGGATCCGAAGGTGAGTTGTGGTGTTGGTTGTTGGTTTGGGGTGGTTGTTGGGGTGGTGGTGGTTGTTTTCTAGGTGTTGGGGGGCAGGTGTGGGTGTTGTGGTGGATGGTCTGATGGCTAACTGGCTGGCGACCCAGATGATCTGGGGCAACGATGGCCCCGATGGCGCCCAGGAGGAAAAGTCGGACCGCACCAGGGCCCGCGAGGCTTTCTTCCTTGAGTTTGCCCGGCTTATCCGCAAGGAGTTCCCCGATGTCCCGCTCATGGTCACGGGCGGCTTCAGCAGCCGGGGCGGGATGGAAAAAGCAGTCGTCGACGGTGACTGCGATCTGATCGGTCTTGCGAGGCCCGCCGTCCTCAACCCTTCACTTCCCAACAACCTGGTGCTCAACCCCGAGGTCAAGGACCAGGACGCCAGAGTGTACCGAAAGAAGAACAAAACACCGTGGTTCGCCAAGTTCATCGGGCTTCCGATCATCGGCGCGGGAATGGATAGTGTAAGTCACAAGTTACCGACAGGAGAATCATGGCTGACGTTAGGGGTAGCAATGGTATGTGAACAAGATCCACGCGATGGCAAAGGCATGAGGGAGAGTGGCTATGCTAGTGGTTATATCAAAGAACGCCTAGTCGATTTGATTAATGTACATTACAAGTCAACCTTGGTTGCGATGATACTCTTGGACATAAAACCCGTCACGAACAGCCATGCCTGTCTTGTTCCGCCTGTGCTCCCCCCCACTGCTGGATCAATGGCCACGAGCACGCCGGCACTGCCGGATCTGAGAGTAGTACCATCATCGTGGAATAGAACCCGTTTCTCCCAATGGCCAGGTGAGATTGGCTTGAGGTAGGTGACCATGACGGGGTCTTTGGCGGCCGGGTCGCGGTGGGTGTCGCCGAGCTCGATGGCTCGCGCTAGGCCCGTCTCAAGGAAGCCGCTCTTGTCGTCGCCAGGGGTGGCGTAGGGATCAGCAAAATAAGAAGGATTGTCGGCGACGTGGTCAACCGTGACAGACTCGACAACTGTGATGTTGCCAGCTCCATCCGCGGGAAGTTGCCCGATATGGAGAATCCCGCTGGTGCAGCTTGCGATCAGGATCTCGCGGTTTGACCGGCCGTGGCTGAGACCGTTTGCATTGTGCAGGTTGGACAAAGCAACATTAGCAGTAACGCCCGCAGCCGCCTCCGTCACGGTTAGGGAGTCGAGCTGGACATGCACAACTTCGGTCCATTTTGCGCCAGAGTAGATGTCCTCAAGCGCGCGCTTGAGGCCCGGGTATCGGTGACGGTGGTCGTTTGTAACGTAGATAGAGTTTACGCTCTGGGCGAAGATATCGTTGGGCGTTATGACCAAGGGATGCCAAATGGAACGGATGTGCTTTGCGGACGATGACCCGATGATGTGGTGAAAGAGCTCAAGCTGGGAACGAGCGTGCGGCCCCTTTTCGCCCGAGGGTTGGGTCTCGGGGACATGATTAATGGCAAAAATATACACCGCTTCTCCGCCAGGCCGTTCCTGGTCTGGAATCACGTCGATGCCGTGGGTAATGAAAGGGCCGTCAAAGTTCTCAAACGTGAGCCTCCGCGATTTCATGGACTAGACGCGTGCGTCAGTGTCGGCTACTTACGTTATGAGATGGGTCCGGCATACCTTGGGGTCGATAACATGAAGAGAGCCCTGGCTTTTGCTAGCCAATTCTGGGCTTTGAAAGTTGGCCAGCGGGGGAAACCACTTGAACCTCGTCTCGGCATTGTCCTCGCAGGCGGTGAAGAGCGTGCCGCTAGGGGCATGGTAATGGAGGTCCTCGCAGTGGACGGTGTCCGGGATCGCAATCACCTCGCCCTTGACGGTGGCGTCATTGGGATAGTTTCGTAGTGCTCCGATAACAACGGCTGTTCGGTGGACGAGAGGGCCAACAGTGTAGAGAACGTAGGCAAGCAAAGCTCCAAGGAGCGAGAATGTTAGTGACCTCATGACCGCGTCGTCCACGTTTCGTGTATCAGTCAGTTGAAGGTCGAGACGTCCCTCTTTTGGTAAATGAACATAGTAACGGATCCTTAGCTAACCCGTGGCGAGATGCTATTAAGTGGGCCTTTGGAAAGTCCGAGCCTCGGTCCTACGACGTAGGCGGGGAAGTTAGACCGGGTTATCCGGGGGCAACGTTCTACATGGGGTAGGCGGCTTGGGTGGCAGGGTGGATAGTCTTGGAACCTAGGAAGCAGGTGGACCTCGCTCTGGGCAATGGAGGAGTAAACCGAGTTCATTTGGGGACTTGAGGTAGCCATTAGGTAATGATGTGCATTGAAGAAGAACGAGCCTGGTAGTTGAGGTCTAAAAAGATAGATATCATGTATTTTCCAGTAAGACCGCGGCCGTCATCGACTTCTTGAACGGTGAAGTGCAGCCCTGTTGTTGTTGATGTTGATATTATGCACAAGAGCTTCCTGCGGAGGTTTCCGGGTTGGCCGCCAAGATGATCCATGAAAGCAACTAAGTTCAATCGCGGACGGTTCAATAGGCAACTGAACTACAGTCAAAGTGAAGATTTATCTGGGTATATCATGCATCGTAAAATAAAATATGGTCGGTACCCAGGAGGTAGTTGCCGAGATGGTCAGCGTAATGAAGCTCGAAAGAGAACCCGAGGTTCCAAGTTCCAGGCCAGCAGGTGCTGCAAATAATCTGATGCAGGCAGGGGTTTTCAACCTCACCCCACAATCAGGGACCCCACTTCCCCACCATTCTCGCTTGCTTGCAGCTTGCCTCTCCCGCGCACACACACCCGACAACACACGCATCAAACCCTTCCGCCGTTCTTTCCAACATCTCGCCTTAGGTTTCATCGAAGCCAAATTGCGATGGAAATGGCCACCATGGATCCCAATTCAGGGCGTCGTAAATCATGCACTGCGCCTGACCAGCAACTGGCATCGCCACTGTTTTCGAGGCTGCCCATTGAGCTACGCGCCATGATCTTCACTGAACTTTTTGGGGGACGCCGAGTCCACCTCGAGTTCATGCCGCATCCCCTGCGCGCCGATAAAGTGGGCAATAGGCGGAGATGGCGACATGGTATTTGCGAGGATACCATGGAGACGTCTTTTGCTTCTGTAATTGCTCGCCAGCACAACTGTCTCACTGCTGCCCGTCGCCGGGTCCTCGATATCTCCATGCTCTTTACATGCTACCGAGCGTAAGTCCGAATCTGCCGCCATAGACGGCGACGTGCTTAGTGTCATAAACTAAAGCAGTGTAGGCTTATGGATGGCATCCCTATCTTGAACCATACCAACGTCTTTCTAGGCATCAACAGCGGTAGTCGGAGACTGCCCGTCGATGATATCCGCAGCCTCCATGCCAAGATGCCCAAGCACTGGCTTTTCTTTTTACATCTCTCGAGATCAAATGGGAGGTGGCCCCTTTTGATCGAAACCAAGCTAATATGGTGCCGCACCTGTGCGGCCGCGATGCCTACGAGGCCTTCTGGGATGCTCTGGCCGAGATGCCCGCGCTCTCCCGCTTACGAATTGCCCTCTTGATGCCTTCGTGTCCCCAAGTTGACCCGAACGCACAACCGCTTGAACTACGGGACCTTTACCTGGGTCCCATCCAGCGTCTGAGAAGCCTCAGAATCTGCGAAGTCGCGATGCCAGGATCGTATCTCTCTGCGTTTGGCGCAAACGAGTGGGAATCCCTCATGGCTCGCAATTCAGAGGGCCAGTACCGCCTCTCCTGGGTTGATCATGACTCGGGGCTGGTGCCACCTGGGCCAGCCACCGCCCAGATATTCTACCTGCCCCGGGGACATTGAGTTAACGTCCCGAAACACGGATGCCCTCCCGGAGCATAGATACCCAAATGTTTTTGATACTCATCCTTCTTTTCCAGCCAGTAGGATTAGTATTCGGTGCTACCGAAAGGGCCGCTGGAGCACATGCTGAGTCGGATTCCTAGCTCGAACCCCCCGGGGCCCGAGCGACTCAGCTAGACTGCTTGTCAAGATGGGATGAAGGCTAGCGTCAGCTCCCGTTGACTCAATGACGACGACACCCCCTCATCACGTCACATGTCACATTGATCCACGGCATGCGGCTAGAATTGTAATGTTTCGTGGCATTGATGCACTTGCACATTTCCCCAAAACGTCCCCGAGCTTGCAGTTCATCTCCGACAGTGGTTATCTCGCACTTGCATCCAAACCACAAGAGCTCATCGCCGATATTTAGCCATGCCTGATGACGGAGGCCCGTGGTGGCCCACTCGGGCAGTTGCTTTTGTCCAGAGTTTCTTCCGGAAGCCCCTCAACAAGAACCTCCCTACCCCTCCCGCAAAGCTAGCTGCCGGCCGTCCTAACCAGCGGACCATACTCAAACATCTACCGGAAACAAAATATCTGGCCCAGACGCTGCCTGATGCCGTCCAAGATGTCCCTTTACCGTCATTTGACCCCGGCGTTTTCGACAATGAGATGATGAAACAGAAGCTGTACCCATCCGTCGACCCGAATGACCCGTCTAACGTGCGAGAGCCCGAGGGGAACATCGTTGAGGGGACCTACGTAGGTACACAGGTAGCCCTGACCCAGGCTACTCCCGGATAGAGCAAAGGTAAGTGTGCTTGGTCCATCGTCAGACTATCGGTTATCGGCAAATCACAGAAAAATGCTGACTCCCCGTACTAGATTCGCCTCGCTGTTCGATGTTCTTGGGATCGAAGCGACGCTGCCGCGGCGCCGTACGCTTGAAGAGCAAAAGGGCCTCTATCAGTTCTCGGCGTATCCAACAAACGGCGATGGAACCCCAGCCCAGTACCCGCCACACATCCAGCACGTACCCGATGACCAATCTGTCAGCGTGTTCAGGATCTTCAACGTTGGAGGCTTGCTAGAGACGAGTGTCCTCCTGCAGAAGATCATACCCGAGGAGGACGGGATCAAGGGCCGGACCAGCGAATTCCTACTTGACAAGGCCCAGGCTGCGGCCTTCGGTGGCGACCCGGACAGGGGGGTCACGATCCAGGATGTTGTCGACTACAACAAATATCATCGCAAATTTGGGACCGACATTGAACACGGCGGCAACATCGGCCTGCTGGATGACTGGTTTGGCGACCGGCGGTTCGCAGATCAGCAGCTCACGGGCACCAACCCGACGACCATCACGTGCGCCACCCCGGCCTGGATCGCTGACTTCACCGCCGCGGCTCAAGCTGGAAACTACCGTGAATGGGTTGGTGCTCTCACCAGAGCAAACCCAAAGTCTCTTTATGTACAGGATGGAAGTTATTTCCGGAGGGCCGCCGGTGTGTCGGACCCTGTGACGATCCTCCACCACAAGCAACCAGGCAGTGACGAGTGCTGGACTGTAGGCGCCGTCAGCCTCTTCCAGCTGCACGAGGATGGGAAATTACATCCGGTTGCCATCTGCATCGATTACAGAGGATCGTTGGACAACTCCGTCACCATCTTCAACAAACGGATGTGCCCCAGCGACTCCTCCGGAAGCGAAAAGCAGGACTGGCCGTGGCGGTACGCAAAGACATGCGCACAGGTGACCGACTGGATGCGCCATGAGCTGGCTGTGCATCTAACGTGCTCGCACTTCGTCGAGGAAGCCATCATCGTCGCAACCAACCGCACCATCCCCATGGAACACCCCGTGTACCGCCTGCTCTATCCCCACTGGTACAAGACCCTGTCACTCAACGCGGCCGGTCGTTCCACGCTCGTCCCCCAGATCGCCGTCGACATTGTGGGTCTCAGCCCGGACCAGACCTACCACTTCCTCTGCGACGCCTACGACACGTACGACTTTGTGGCGAGCTACGTCCCCAATGACCTCAAGCGGCGCGGCTTCTCCAGCACGCTCAAGGGCCTCGCCCACCCGCGCTACCGCAACTACCCCTACGCCAAGAACGTCCTCGCCCTCTGGATCACCCTCCGCGCCTACACCAAGTCCATGCTGCGCATCGCCTTCCCCACCGACGCCAGCGTCGCCGCCGACGCGGCCATCCAGCACTGGGCCACCGAGATCCAAACCGCCGGCCACATGCCTACTTTCCCCACTATAACCACCCTCGACGAACTCATCGACGCCGCCACCATGTGCATCTTCATCGCCTCGCCCTTCCACACCGCCATCAACTACCTCCAAAACTTCTACCAAGCCTTCGTCGCCGCCAAACCCCCCGCCCTCTGCAGCGCACCCCCCACCACCCTCGACCAGCTCCGCGGGTACACGGAAGCCGACCTCGTCGCGGCGCTGCCCATCAACCGCCAGCGGCAGTGGCTGCTCGCGGCCCAGGTGCCCTGGCTGCTGAGCTTCAAGGTGGAGCCCGACCGCAGCCTGCTCAACTACGCGGCCAGCCAGTGGCGCGTGTACCGGCACAAGACGGAGGACCAGGATGTGCGCGTCAGGGAGGCGAGCGCGAAGCTGTACGCCGACCTGAAGAGGCTGCAGACGTGGTTTTATCGGAATAGCGTGGGCATGGATGAGGGCAGTATTCCGTACATGGTGTTGGATCCGGGGTTGACGGCTGTGTCGATTCTTATTTAGGGGGTGTCGGTTTTTGTTCGGGAGGGGAAAGGGGAGGTTGTTTGCTGTGGGGGCCTTGAGAATGGTATGGGGGGATATTTAGGATAGTTACCGAGTGAGATTTACAGTGTTGAATCGCATTTTCACTGAAGCCCGGCCGCACTGCACTGAATGTCCAAAAGGGGCCCGTCCATCAACCCGGTCGCCATAGATATAACTCACCCTCACAGGTAGGAAAGTAGGCACCCCGTAGACATCACACAACATGAAACTTCATCTCTTGCGCAAAAAAGTCGGCATTACTCAAGTACAACCAATATAACCCAAACAAAGCAGCCCGAAAGCCTAGTTTAAAACAACCCCCAACTAGCACCAAACACAAAGCGAACCCCTATCATACCCCCCAGTTTATCCAAATCCCCTCTACAACAGCACCATCGACGCACCCACACCCATGGCCACGACGACGTACAGACCAACAGCCAGCTCACCAATGGCAAAGGCGCCCCGCAGCGGCCCACCGGCCATGGCGGCGTTGCTGCTCTCCTCGGCGTCGCTGGAGTTGGTGTCGGTGGCGCTGGTGGCGGTGGCGGCGACGGCGTTGGCGGAGCTGGCGCTGGCGAGGGCGTCGCTGCAGGTGCTCTCGTCGGCGGCCTTCTGCAGGGTGGCCTGGCCCTTGAAGTCGCAAGCGTCGGCGGCGTTGTTCTGGTTCTGGTAGTACTGGTCGAGGACGTAGCCGAGTTTCTCGCGGGCGCCGCACATGGAGTAGGCGCCGTAGACGCCCGACGTGGTGTTGCCGTTGATGCCGGCGCAGCTCTCCTTGCTGGCGTCGCAGATGAAGTCGAAGATGGCGCCGTACGCCTTGGGCTTCAGGTCGTCGGCCGGCACGCAGGTCAGCGACTTGTACATGCAGTCGCAGAGGGAGGAGTCGGGCGTCGGCGGCAGCGTGCCGCCCTTGACCTTCCAGTCCTTGCCGATGGCGGGGCAGGCGGCGGCCGTGTTGGTCGGCTTGTATTCGTCCATCGAGGTGCCCGAGGGGTCGACCTTGGAAATGACGTTCTTGAGTGTGTCGTAGTTCTTCATGGTGGAGACGGACGAGCCCGAGAGCTCGACGAGGCCGTAATCGTTGGCCTCCTGGAAGTACATGTACACGATGCCGCCGGACATAACGTCGGTCATCTCCTTCGAGTACAGGGCCGTGGTCTCCTGCCAGATACGGCCATCGGCGCCGTTGGGGATGTTGCAGCCGTACTCGGCGAAGAACACCGGGACAGAGAAGTTGCGGAAGAACTCGACTTGAGTGTCGTAGCCAGAGTCAGACATGCTGCTCTTGCCGCACCACGAGTAGATGTTGTAGCCCCAGAAGTCAATGGCGTCGCTCTGCTCGCCGCAGTTGAAGTACTCGGCGATCTGGGAGCGGATGAACGGGTCATCGTTGGCGGCGTAGCCGACGCCCATCCAGCGGTCGACGTTCTTCTTGATGTACGCCTTGGTGTCGCGGACGGCCGCCTTGACGTAGGCCGAGGCGGGGGTGTTGGTGTTGTTGTTAGACACCTCGTTACCGGCGAAAAAGCCGATCACGTTGCTGTACTTGCTGAGGTTGTCAACCACGCCGGTGTAGCGCTCGAACAGCTCGACGTTCCAGGCCGGGGTGTCGCGGTTGACGGACAGCGAGGGCTCGCCAAGATCGCTGATGACGTAGATGCCGGCATCATCCAGCAGCTTCATGCATGTGTCGTGGTCGCCCTTGGGGTCGATGGCGTACGTCCGGATAGTGTTGGTGTGGAGCGCCTTGAGAAGAGGCACGTCGCGCTTGCAAGCCGCCTCGTTGACCAGAGGGTCGGAATACTTGGTGCTGCCGGTCGAGGCACCCCCAGCAGCCACGTCTTGCTGATACGCGATGCCCTTCATGAAGAATTGTGTGCCATTTTCGTAGAAGAACTTGCTGCCCTGTGAACCAGTCAGCGAGGTGATTAGCAAGGGCTGGGCCGGCGCAATTGACCTTCATGATAATGGGCGGAAGAGCGGCGGATGCCTGCCCCAGGAGGAGCGAGGCGGAAAGAATGGACGCGGTCGTGGCGCGCATCTTGGCGGCGTCCCTGGGTGATGTTCTGGTTCTTGTTGGTTGATGGTTATCGAGTCGAAGAGCAGCGTAGTGACTGTTGATGTGGTTCTATGTTGGAGTTGACGTAATGGAAACGCGCGGGCAAGAAACAGTCAAAAAGAAAGATCAAGGCTTGTTTATCAACGAGTGTCAGAATGAGAAGAGTGTGTAGCGAAGGTCGAGAATGCAGCCTCCCTTCCGCCAAGATTACAAGAAGGGTGAAAAAGGGTGGAATGTTTGAAGGAGAGACAGCGGCACGGGTACGGCAGAATCAGGGGACGGGGTTGCTAAAAAGCGAGGAAGGTACCCCTTGGGTGTCCCCACAAAATACCACCAACACCGAACGGTTGTGCGTGGGTGCTGGATCCAGCCGAAACTTGATGTGGAACTGTGAGCAGGGTTCTCGCAGTTGACAGTCTGGATTTGGAAAGGTCACTGGTCGGCAGGAGATAGCTGACGCACCCCTTTCGTCGGGGCGACGGAGATACCTGCAGATCGAGCATCCACCCATCCAGCCATCTGCAGGCACAGTTCCAACAAATGCTGCAGCAAACGGGGTTCCATTAGGGGAGCGCGCTAGCGAGCACTCGTTCCATCGTCATCTCGGTGTGCTGCTCAGGGGAGCCGTCTGGAGCATCCTAGGTAACAATCACAAAGAAACGGAACGCTGAAGCATGGGACCAGAGAGCATGCAACTGTTTGGTTCCTTACGCTCATTATGCGCTTGGAATGGATGTGTGGGTGGTGACCTCAAATGACACGAGCATTAACTAGTTTGCGGGTTGGGAAATTGTCGTATTAACACGAAAGGATTTGGGTGGTGCTGTGTTTCGCGAACTGCCACCACCACCCATCCGATGGCGCACTCGGCTGGCCGAGGTTTGATGAGCTTGGCAGGGTTCCCCGGGGCTGGGCGAGACGCCTCCGGCTGCACGCCGGCATTCCCAAGTGACCGTTTCACTGTTCTTGTCGTTTGAGGTCGTTCCCCCTTGGCGCGCGATACAATGACATGCTCGTGACATGCAGGTTCGGGATCGGCATGGCTTCCTTGGAAATGCTTGGTGCTCTTGGAAAAATGCTTGGTTCTTGAAACAAGACTTTGCCCAGAAGACACGGTTGGCTCGGCGCTAACCCCTGCCATTCGGCATGCACAGCCCCAACCAGCGCCCCACCACTCGTTCATCACCACCAGAAAACGACAATAAAACGGTGGGTTTGCCAAATTCGCTGTGATAGTTGGATGGCAAGCGATGAAGATTGGCAAATTGGTTCGAAGTCTCAAAGAGATTCATGTGGATGCTTTTGTGCACTGCCTCGCCGCTCCAAATGGCTGCTCTCGCTCCTTTATTTTCGAGGCTCCCTCTAACCCGGCTTCAACAAATTTTCGAGCTCTGCGGCTTGTTTGGCGAGCCCTGGAGGTCGCATTCGCTCCTGTTCTTGGCGCCTAGACGGCGACCCTGCATCCAGAATCCTTGGCGATCTGACCCTCGATCTTCAATGCGCCAGCAAGGGGAACATCCACACCGACTCTTGCGGGCAGTCGGGGGTTTAAATGAAGTGGTCGCCCTGCGGAGTGTGGCCCCTGGTGCTGAGCGCCCAAACCTCAATTCCCAGACCGCAACCTCCATTTCAACGTGCTGCTTGTTCCCCGCATACCCACCACAACGCATCTGACGCTCCGTCCTCTGACCACAAATCATATCACCAAAGGGTGTGCCCGCCGAGGGATTGCTACCTGGAGTTCACCTTCATTGGAGTCGCAAACATAGTGCCCCAAGGGTAAAGGCAGGAGGACCCCCTGGTTCAGTCTCCTCCTTACCTATGTATGTGCCGTTTAAACCTCCTTTAGCCAGCACAAAACATTTTCCGTATGAGGCCCGCTGGTTTCTTCCTTGAGCGAACTCGTTTAGTCGTTCTCCTCTCTGGGGATGTTCCTCTCGGGTTCCGCTCCAGCACCACCTCTTGATACAGATTGTCAAGTAGTTGGTTGTTTTTACTCCAAGCTTTCTGTTCCGCGTCCTCAGCTTTCGCGAGAGTCTCTCTTAGCTCTCTCGCAGTCTTCTTCAAGCCGTCAATCTTGACCCCCAACTCCTTAACCTCCTTCCGTAGCTCTGATACCCCAGAGTCAGTGGCGTGGTCTGTCGTGAAAGCCTCCAGTCTCTCGTTGACGCTATCAATCTCATGTAGAACAGGGTCCCAATCTTTTCGAAGCGAATCCAAATTATGTTCAGTAGGGTCCCAATCTTTTTCAAGCGGGTCGTGGGGAGGTGATGGGCGGGCGTTGGCATCAACAATACTGTCATCCGCCGGGATAGGGTCGGCAGAACGCGCAGCATCGTCTGCTCCACCCGAACCCACCATAGTTCCAGAACGTCGTTGGCGCCTGGGCGCTCGATACTATCTTTTCAGCAATTGTGTCTGTCGGGTCACTCGGGTGTGTAGTTCGAAGTCGGCTTCGGAAGCTCGGGGCCAATGGCCTTCAGGTGGTGTTGGTGGGCGGAAGCCTTCTGACCAGTGAGGTTGGTTAGCGAACAGTGGAGGTCATCGGAGCTTGGCCTCGGCCTCTCTCTGTATGCGATCGGTCCATTACTTACCTGGTCTGCATCGCCGCGTACGCCAGCGACCGCGGACGGGAGGAACCTGACACAGACCCGAGCAAGTGATTCTTCGCTGGGGTTTTCGATGGTTATTAATCCGTATTCCGACCGGGGAACGCCAATTAACCCCGCGTCTACCACCCAGTTAATTCGCAGTTCGCTCGGATCATGTCTCACTTTTTTTCAGCTTGCTTTTTCAAGCGAGGCTGCAGATTGTCAGCCGAACTCGGCGAACGATAAGCCTCAATTTGGCTAGCCCCCGCACGCCGCAATGACCGCATTACCCTCCTCAGAATTCACCATAACAACTTCCATCTTGATCTGAGTGTGACCGCATAACTACCGACCTTTGCGTTCCCGCAGTTTATCATACGCAAACGAATATGTTGCGGGAAAAAATCGCTGACCGACATGAAAAAATCGCTGACCGACATGACTGGGGCCTGAAGCTCGTGCACGACGGCTCGCTTGAGGGAAAGCCCAAAGACCCGGAACGTCTCGAGTAAGTCGGATAAATACAAAATGCGCTCAATTCGGCTTCCGTTTTGGCGGTCTGACGCTTCCATTCAGCATTGTTCTAGTACACGGACTTGGCGGTCACAGGGAAACCACCTGGACTGCCGAGGACGGGTCCTACTGGGCCACGAATTTCCCCCCGCCATTCACCTCTAATCTAAGGGTGTTTACTTTTGGGTATTCTGGTACCCCCAGAAGCACCGGTAACAAGGAGACAGTCCTCAGCATCGCGGAGAATCTCCTTGAACTTCTTAGTGACGAACGGAAGCAACCGCACTTGAAACGACGCCCGCTCATATGGGCCGGGCATAACCTGGGCGGAAACATTATTAAGCAAGTCCTTGTCGAGACGGAGAGACCTACCAGCAGGCACCACGAGGTCTATCGTTCCACCGCCGGGGTTGTAAGTGGCTGCCGGAGGACACCTCCATGTAGTGGCCGTTCAGTACTCCCGGAAACTTACCGTGTTTTCTGGCCCAGCTCTTCTTCGCCACTCCCCACCACGGTCTCAATGCGAAAATCTTCCAGCAACTTATCCTCATGGCCAATAAACACCCCCGGGTATGGTTCTCTAGAAACGCACCAAGCGCGCTCCTCGACGAAATGGACCAGAATGACAACCGGATCAATGATCTCTTGAGCCGCTTTCGACGTGTCACCAACCACTTGGGGTTTGTCAGTTTGTTGGAAAGTGCTTTGGTCCCTGGGTTGAAGGATGTGGTTGGTTTTGACAATTACCCCTGCCGTCACCGCCGTAGGTACCTCGGTACTTAGCTAACGAACCCTGTTATTATGACAGGTAGTAAACGAGTCTTCGGGCACGCTGAAGTTGCCAAAGGAAGAAGTAACAAAGCGGGACGCGGCAGATCACATTCAGATATGTAAATTCAGTAACACGAAGAATAACGATCCGGACGGTAACACGGAGAACAACGAGTTCGGCGTCCTAGCGAAGCAGGTCCAAAATTTCGTAACTATCTCATCAAAAGCAATTGGTGAGTCGGTGTCTCATGGTTTTGCGTGGCACCACATTTCTCACACGCCTGGAGCAGCCGATTGGGATGAGAACCGTATTCCGTTAGAACGGCTAGGTATTTCCAAGATTCGGCCTAAGACGCGGCCAGTCCAGCCTGCCAAGGGCACGTGTGAGTCGATCGCCAAAGAATGTTTCAACGAGTGGTCTACCGGAGCACAGGGTAACTTCAGCAGTCTTTGGGTTAAGGGGCCCAGAGGCTGTGGGAAGGCTCACTTGGCTAAGTACATGGCGGATAACTGGAAAAAAGAAGTATATGATCCCCGGACCCGGCCACAGCGCCCTGCCATTGTCGCGCACTGCTCCCTCAACGACATGATCACCGAGTACAGAACAGCCAGTTCTGTTGCCTTGTGCTGGCTCCACCAGGTTCTTGATGCCGACCCGACGTTGACCCCCCACCTGAGGAACGAATTCAATAACAATACTGCTCACAACCTCGACCGCTACGTTTGTGACTGGGAGGAAAATCACATCGTCGACCTCTGGCAGAAAATGATTTCCACAGTGGCCAAGGAGGTGGGGTTCTTAGTTTTCATCGTTGATGGGTTGGACAAATGCAATGACCCGCAGGTTCTTCAAGACCTCGTCAACTGGGTGGCCCAGGCTGCAAAGAAACCCGACACCATTCTGGGCGGTGTCCAGTTCCAGCTCTTGATCTTCTCCAACGACACAGAAAAGCTCCGCCCTCTAAACCATCCTCCAATTCATCAGCTCGCCGCTGGAAGGTTTTTGGACGACATCAAGTGCGCCGTAAGAGACCGCGTGGACGAGACCTTACGCCGTTACGAAAGCAGTGGAGGGCAAACTGATAGAGTGAATCAATGTGAAGGAGAGGATCAACAAGACGGGGAAGCTGGCGGGGGGGCTTCGAGCAAATTAGGAAAGCTGCTCTGGAACACGGTTGCGGAAGGTGAGGAGAAGACGCACCTTTGGGCGACTGTCCTCATGGGCGAGATCAAGGCCGCCAATTTCCCGGACAAGGCATCCTTGGTCAGTTTCCTCGAGCTTCTCAACAGGAGCCCCCGTGGCGGCAAGCTTGATGCGCTCTATGGTGCTATTGTTCGGCGAATTTCCTCAGGGCGCGAATTGAAAAGGCACTCCTTCAATGTGCTGTTTTGGTTGATGCACAAAATCGGTATCATGACCCAGCAGGAATTACAAGAAGGGTGTGGCATGCTTGACGCAGCCGGGTTTAGAGGAGCTGATGATGGAGACAGGGATACTCAAAGGCGCATCGAGGAGACCGACATAGAGAGGACATATCTTAGTTACTCCACGTTTCGTCGGGCTCTTGAGAACTTGGGAGGGTTAGTCAAGATCTGGCGTCGAGGCCTGTGCCTCATTCACGATTCATTTTGGGATTATTTTACAACACGCGCCGACACAGCCGTTCACCGCGACTACCGCTGTTCCCCTAAAACCGCGGCCAGGGTTATTACCCGCCTCTGCATGGACTATCTACTCCTTTCCCGCTTCAAGAATGCCGGCCCACCGGCAACCGAAGGGGATAGTCGCCAGTGGGAAAATAAGGTCCACAAACGGGTGCAGGAGAACAAGTTTGTCCGATACGCATCGCTCCGCTGGACTGAGCACCTCCAGAGGTCGGGATCTGTGTTTGATCCACGCCATACGAGTCACAAGAAATTGTCACGAATGCGAAAGCTGCTCGACCCGAGGAAAGGATACATGAAAAGCTGGACCGAGGTGTTGTGGTATTGGACCAAGGCGGCCGAAGGTCTGCCTTATCCCAAGGAACGTTTCCCTTGGGAGCTGTTTGTCTGGAAAAACCCCAAAGGGCACTGGCAGCCCGAGCAAACGTCGCCACCACTACGCTTCTCGCCACCTAGTTTTGGAAATCCAGAGTCCGAGCAACCCCAAGCCGCCTCGAGGCAGCCGGATGTCGAAAGGCCCGGCTTGGAGCAAGTTCAAGCGGATGTCGAACAACCCGGCTCGGAGCAAGTGCAAGCGGATGTTGAACAACACGGCTCAGAACATCCGGACCCCCAACAACCTACGCTGGAACAGCCCCCTTCCGAATGGCAAATCGAGGGCAAAAATCCTAAAGCATGGTGGCGGAAGAAGCGTGTTTGGTTGGTTGTTTTTGCCCTCGTCATCATCATCATCAGTGGTACCGTGGGCGGCATCCTCGGGTCGCGGCGTTCTGGTTGAAACGATGGACGACAACAGTTTAGGGCAGTGTCATGAGGCAGCGCTGTTCCATATCAAATACCTCTTCTACCCAACAGCCCTGGCAACTTGCTATTTACGCCCACACATCCCTCCGCGCCCCTATTCCGCCAAGGTCCATACCCGTCGCCCGCTCCTCCGCCGAAGGAAGCGCCCGCCAATCATCCATCCGCAACCCCTTCCTAACGGCCTCACCGGCGAACGTACCCGGCCCCAGCCCCAGCTCCCCACAGCCATTACGGCCCAGAGAAGCCTGCTCAATACGCCTGACCACGGTTTTGAACCAAGCATCATCAGCGCACGCAAAACGGCACATATTCGTGTGCGACGCGGGGATCGCCAGCTGCACCTCGTGTGGTAGGTGCGTCAGCGCCGACACCTTGTCGACGATGACTGATGCTGACCTGCTGCTGCTGCCACCACTGCTACATACATAGGGTTCGGTCTCGTACAGGCTGATGAGGGCGTACCGTTCCACGATGTGCCGGAAGTCCTGCGCGAGGTCGTGCAGGTTGGGGGCGTCGCGTTGTAGGGCTTGCACGAGCGGGGAGATGCGACCGCGGCCGCGGCCGAGGCTGCTGAGAGGGCCGAAGCCCGAGGCGATGCGGAGCCAGGCTTCGGGGGTGCTGCCGCCGTGGGGGGTGCTGAAGAAGACCTGGTTCGTGGGGGGTGGGTGGTTAGTTTCTTGGTCTTGTCTTGCGAAGCGGAGGGTGGATGGATGGTTCTTGTTCTCCTCCAGCCATGCATTAACAAAAAGGAAACCAGGTGGCCCTGGGAGGGAAAAAGATAAGAGACTCGGATACCGGGAGTCGAACCCGGGGCTGTTGAGAGAGCAGTCACTCCTGAGAAGTGAGAGTCAACGATGTTACCGCTACACCATACCCGATTTGAATCGTGTGTGGTCCCGATTTGTTGGAAACGGGGTCGTGGGAGTGGACTTTTGTTTGTGCAGAATTTTCGGTGTGGGTCAAAGGGGGTCAAAAAGGGGGTGGGGAGTCCTTACGAATCCACGCGTAGCGGCTAGAATGGCTTGGTGACCCATGTCATCCGAATGCTGCCTGGCCTCTCGAAGTGCCTGTTTGGCATTAGCAACGGATGTGCAGACTGGGTACCTCCATGAGGTCAACCCGTCCGTGGGTGACAGACCTCCTTCACGAGCAGTCCCCCGAGACTGTGGGCGACGAAAACGATCGGTCTTGTGGAGCTTTCTCGGCCGGCCCTGGGGCGCTTGGCAATCAAATGGGCAAGCAGGTTCAACCCATGGTCTCGGATCCTCCCTACCGACGCGCTGTTGTAGATGTCGGCGTCGTAGCTGAAGGAGAGGACCCGCGCATTCTCCATCCGGCTTGGAAGGAGGTCCCTGGGCCAGCATACAGAGGACTCTTCCCATGTGTGGATATAATGCCCGTTAAGGCCGTGCACGAACACAATGCTGAGAGGTGTCGATTAGCGGGTTGAACTGCTAGGCCTCATGGAAGATGGGGGTTGCGTTGGACGTACTCCATGCTCACCTCAGAGCCTTGGGTCCTTGGGTCGTAAAGGACGTTTAGACCGGTCTTTCTTGGTAGGGGCCGAGGACTAGGTGACGAGGCCCTGCGGCCTAACAGGGAGCGAAGCGATGGCATGCTGGAGAAAGGGATTCAGGGACAGCTGAGAATATAATGGGATCAATGGCAGGTGGATTGGAGGGGAGATGAGAGAAGCAGCGAGCGCGCTGAAGAAGGGAGAACACGACAGATGATCTACAGATTTTGGGATTCACGGTCGTGGCAAGTACAACACATGATCGGCGTGAGAGCGTCGGATTTCTACCACACGGGAATCACAACATGGTCGAACTACACTACACTTTTGGGCCGAACCCAATGGCGCCTTGAGGCTTGCGCTAGAGGCTCAAATGACAATACGACATACGTCTCCGAATGAGGCTGAAGATAAGGAAAAGAACCCTAATGCGTTGGTCTTAACTCTGAAGCAGCACGGGACGCAATGGAGCAGTATCGTTGGTCCTATTCCTATCCACAGTTTCTATTTCTCAATTCCTCTGCCGTGGCACTTTTCAATTGTTCGCCCAAGGCAATTCGTTGGGCATGGACCGCATGGTTGGGCGGCTGCGCTTGTTGTGTAGGAGAAAAGAAGGGGTCTCAAACGTCCGTTGAGCCGCAAAATGCCACCTCTGCCCCAGTCTTTCTATACTGGACTCGGCACGATCGGAAAGGGTTTCAACCCTATGCGGCTCCTTCTCAAGACAGCTGGCACCAGTCCCACAGATGGCGGCTCGGCGATGCCTTTGGGGCGTTAGCACTCGAAGATTACCCCGGATGTTGCCATGCTAGGTCCCTGAAACCAAGTTAAAATTCTCTGCTTCTCCATGTGGAATGTTTTCATTGGTTCCCGGATTCGGAATGTCCGCACGTCAGTTCTGCGTCGGGAGGCCAAATTAAGCGACTCGTGGGGGGCGGTGTGGGTTGCTACCCAATGGTCTCGTTGCCATGGAATGCAGTGTTTATGGCCTTGCTCGGAGGGTAGTACCGAAGAGTGAGTTGGCTCACCGATAGCCTATTTCCCGGTTTCACGGCTTTTACTTCACCCGATGATATGAGGCAGGGTGAAGGGCTCAGTCCATCGAGGGAGCCCAACTGCATCACGAGCCGCGGCAAAGTTAGATCTTCACTGCTTCCGCGTCATGAGCCTCATCCCTGTGGCTTCAAGTGAGTCATCCCACGATATGGTGATCTGCTGGGTTTCAGCTGCCATGAAGAAGTGGTGCTAACCCCAACAAGCCGGCGTGGATATGCCACCCGGTCAACGGTAAGGCCGCAAACACCACAGGGCCAGTTGTAAACACGATGGAAGTTTGGTGGCAAGGCACCACGTTGGGTTCTTTGCAATGCTCACAACGTGTGCCAACTCAGTTCTCCGTTTGGCTGCACTAAACTTCCCGATTGTTTCAGATGGACATATAAATCTATCCGTTTCCTCTACCGCTCACATTATCAGGACAGCCAACTTGAGCTTCGCAGCAGCATCCAAGCCTTCCATCTCCAGCTGAATATCATCCCTTGAATTTTCCCAAAGCAAGCATCAAACATCAAACTATCGACCGGCTCCCCTTCACGCCTACACAACGGTCCTCCGCTACCATGTCACCTCCGCAAGAACTATCAGGCTCCTCTAAACCTGAAGAACCTCTGCTTGCCACAAAAGAGGCAGCCGTCAAGACGCAACAAGCCCCGCCGCCCCTCCCGGACACCGTCACCCCGGATGAGGAGGATATCGACCAGTTCCTGGACGAATTTGATTCTGGCGTCCAGAACGTCGTCATTGCGGACGAGGCAAAAAACCGCGAACGGAAGCGGCTGGAGCAGGAGGTCAACGACAAGGAAGACGAACTCAACGCCATCAAAAACGCCCCCAAGCCTGATACCACCTATGAGGTATTCGACGACAATGACGAGCCTGAAACCCTCGGGGACGAGGTCGTAGCAGAGGCCGAGCTTGCTTCAGCCAAAATGGCCGACCTCGTCCAGGCCAAGAAGGAGCTGACGGAAGAGGTGGCAGCCGAGAAGGCTAAGATCGCCGAGATGGAGGAGACTGAAAAGAGTTTGAGGTCGGAGCTGAAGAAAACGAAGGAGGATAAGGAAGACGCGGAGAAGAACCTGGCGGTGACGAAGAAGAAACTTTTGGATCAGATCGAGAAGTTTACTACTCTGCAACATGAACGTAACGCGATGGAGAAGGCGTTCAAGGAGTACGTACTGGGGTCGAAGCGGAAGATTAGTGGACTCATGGACAGACTCAAGACGACCAAGGACATCCTGGCCAGGATGAACCGCCCTTAGGCTGGCACTTGTGGTGGCGGGGGCCTTCTGGGTTTGGACCGGTGAAGGGGTGTTTCTTTCCGAGGATATCAAGGAGTACTCGGCAATACCCGGCACTGTCGTTAAGCTTTCATATGTACCATTATGTAGACTTCACTGTCGTTTAGCTTTCTTTTGTAGTTATAATATAGCCCTCACAAGAGTCAAACTTCTGGTCTGTTTCCAACCCTCACAAGATCCTCGTCAGACCGCCCCAGCCCGTCCCCCCTCATCATTTTCTCGATGTGTTCGCAAGTGATGATAAACCCGAAGTCGTCCTCGCTCTCGAAACGGACCATGTCCATGTGATGGTGGTCCAGCGGGATCGCTGTTTCACGCGGCAGCCCCATTACTGCGCTCGTGTGGCTGACGATGGTACTCTTCGTGCCCGGGAAGATGGTTATCTCGTAGAAACTGATGATATTGTAGCCGCTAGCCAAGTGTCGGAAGTCGTCGCAGAGTGCGTGAAGCTCCGATGAATTTCTCGTCAGGGACTCTACCAGGGGTGATGGTCGGCGCCAGCCAAGATATCGAGATCCCGGAGCAAGTGGCGCAAACTGTTTTGCCACGGTCAACCAGCGCTTGTGATCAGATCCGGCGTGCGGTGTCCCATAGAAAATCTGCATCCAGGAGTCAGCACCCATTGTCCACAATTGCGTAGTGGTGGAAGACGTACTATGCCTCGCGTCGAGGTACCCAAAAGTTCATACACTTTGTCATTGTGCGCCATGCGTAAGGCCTACCGGAGGCGATATCGCCATGTTTGTTTAGCCGTGCCCTAGTCCCCACGAAACGACTACTGGGTAGTCACTCACCTGCTTGACAATTATACCGCCGAGGCTGTGAGCGACAAAGACGATGGGCCTGCCCTCTTCCTGTTCTTCTTCCTCCCGGAAGTCGCGGAGACTGGACAGTAAGTTCCGAGCATTGTCCCGTATGCCGGCAACAGATGTGTTGCCGTAGATGTTGGCACTGTAACTAAACGACAAGACGCGGATGCCGGGTATATGCTCGGGCAGTAGGTCCCTGGGCCAGCAAATTCCGCTCTCCTGGTGCGTCCACGACTCGATGTGGTCGCCGTTCAATCCGTGAACTAAGACCAGGCTGCGGTGCCCAGGATTCAGTAGCGCCTCGGGTGACTTGATTACAGTTGATTAAGTAAACGAGAACACAAAACGGGCTTACTCTAACTTTGCAACCCTCGAGTGGGATACCCCGGGGTCATGGATGGTGTAAAGAATCCCACCGCCGTTTGGTGCCATCGTGGCCGTTGAAGCTGAGTACGATAAAGCGACTTACAGGTTTGAAGAGGGGCGCTCCCCAAGAATAGGGAGAGGTTCGCAGCTTTAAAGGCTGTCTCTAACCTGAGAGGTCAGACCCGGTTGGGCAGCAACGGGATCACTGCCGAGTCAGGTACATCAGTACCTAACAATTTCTTTCCGAGACATCATCGTCCGGTGTGGGTGCCTGGACCACCGCCGCGACTACCGCCCAAGTTTCCAAGACATTATATCATCTAGGTATGAAGTTCGCCCCGGAAAAGAGTGAACTGATCCATTTCAACAAAGGGCGACGGCAGTGGACCGAACAAGTAAACCTTGCCAACCCAAGGGGAGGCACCAGCCCCGTTAAACCAGAAGGGTCTGCCAGGTTCCTGGGAGTCTGGTTGGACTGGAAACTCAACTGGAAGGCCCACCTGGTGGCGGTGGAGAAGAAGCTGAGGACCCAGAGCTATGCCCTGTCGAGGATCGTGGTAAAGACATGGGGGATGGGGCTAGCCAAAACGCGAGAAGTGTACACAAAGTGCATCCGGTCGGCGCTGGCCTATGGCGCATCATCGTTTCACATCCCCACGGATGTGGGAAGCGAGCCGGCAAAGAAAGGCATCACTAAGGCCCTCGGGAAGGCCCAGAACAAGAGCTTGCGGATTGTGGCGGGAGCCTTTAAGTCTACCCCCATCCGTAACCTCGAGACAGAGACATGGGTACCACCATTAGACTTGTACCTAAACAAACGGCTTGCCGATTTCGAAAACCGACTCCAACGACCCGATCTGGACGACGGTCGAGGCGGCAAGAAGACGGCGGCGAGCGTTGTCCTCACCGCCTGCCGCAAGATTCAGCAGAGACTCAGCTCGAGGAGGGGCAACAGGGGCCGACCGCGAACCTTGGGACCTCAAGGGCCTACGGCGGTGGAGAGAGCCGCGGGCACGGTCATGCGCTGGACGGGGGGAACCGTTGATACGAACAGGGTAGTAGAAGAGGCTTGGAAAGCCAGGTGGTTAAAGGAACGGGACGGCAGGGCAATCACCAGGCCGGCGGACGACTTTGACCATCAGCAGGAGACGCTATTCCGGAACGAAACCCTAAGGAGGCACGACGGTCTCAGCAAGGCAAAGAGCTCACTGCTGATTCAAATCCGGACGGGAGCGATAGGCTTACGGGACTTCTTGTTTACACGGGGAGTCCCGGAGGTTCTAACTCCTGCCTGCGAGTGTGGCGAGGGACGAGAGACTGCCGAACACCTGGTAGTGTGGTGTTTGGCCCCACCGTTGACTAGAAGATGGGAGAGAACTGGAATTCGGACACGACGGGACTTTTACTCTGTACTACACGGCATCAATCCCACGACTGCACGGCTCGCGAGGAGAGTTCTCGACTGGCTGATGGACTCGGGGAAGCTGCCGATGTACAACTTAGCCAGGAGGCTCGAGCTGGAAGCGGCGGCCTGAAGCGCCCCCGTTCGGAGGCCAGGAGGCCTCCTCTCTTTGTATATGTGGGCTCACTAAAACGCATCGCTCCTTGATTGTTGGTATGGGTTTTTCACCCGGCCCGGGAGGGCACGGTTTTCCTGTACACTAAATAGCTGAGGGTCCGGCACGCCCTAGGGCATAGCGGAGTATGAATAATAATAATTATATCATCTAGGTAGGTACATGTAGGGGTAAGTCTTTGCTCTTAAACCAAGCTAAACCAAGCCAGGAGTCTAACTACTTCAGGTCATGTCCAAACATCGCTGGTATGTTATCTTGTGAGGCGGAACTAAAGGTATTTATAGCCACGCAAATCTACCTACCTACAAAAACAACACCTCGGAATATTTCTTGCTCGGCCCAGCAAGCAGGCCCTGACCCTTGCCTCCGAGCGTGAACTCAAAAAAGTCCGACAAGTACGCCCGCAAGATCTCTATAGTCCTAGCCCCCGTCATGACCCCGACCAGATTCCCAACCACCTGCTTGTCATCCCCCCTGAGATCCGCCACATCCGCCACCAGGCCAAAGTCAATCAACAAGCCATGAGCCGAGTCCTCCACACTCAACTCCTTGAGCCACGTGCGCGGATACTTCGTCCTCGTGGCATTAAAAAACCTCTCCCACGTCTCATCACTCGACGAGTTATGCCCCGGCGACCCAAACGTCAAAAACGGGCCTTGTACCCCCTCCTCCACCGCCGGCCCAAACATCATGCCATCCATATTCACGCCCGCCCCGACCCTTCCATCCTTCAGCATCACATCCGCCGCCGCCGGCCCCCCAAACGAATCCCCCACAAACCCCACTGTCCCTTTGCCCCCCTTCCCGCGCGGCACCCCCAAGTAATCTAGCACCATACCCGCATCCTTGGAGCGCACATCCAGCGCGGCGGCCAGCGCCTCGACGGCCTCCGGGTCCCGCGGCACCCGCCCGCCGTAGATGACGCTGCCGTCGGGGAACTGCACCGCGTCCGTCTCGTACGGGTGGTCCATCACGACGACCTCGTAGCCGGCGCTGGCGAGGTGCTGGGCTGCGGCGGAGTAGAGAAGCCGCGAGGTGTTGCGGCCGGTGCCGTAGAGGATGGTGGGGAATTGGGGGAGGGGTTTGGGGGGGTTGGGTTTGGTGCGGACGGCGCAGCAGACTTCCAGCTCCATGCGGCCCAGCACGCCGTGCGGCCAGCCGATGTCGCTGCCGACAAAGGCGTCGATGATGGCGTCCTCGACGGAGGACATGAAGGCGTTCATGTAGGGCACGCGGCAGGTGCGCTGGCAGTCGCGGGTGCGCACGGGCGTGAAGCGCGAGATCATGATGCGTCGTGGGTGTGTCGCGTTGAAGGGGTCCGGCCGCGCGGGGTCGACCAGCTCGGTGGAGGTCCATTGGACTTTGTAGGGTGAGGCCGGGACGGGGATCACGGTGGCCTGGATGAGGCCGGCGCCGGTGAGGGCGGCGGGGAGGAGGTGGGAGAGCTTCATTGGGGTGGGATGGTTTGGTGATTTTTGGGAAAGCCGAGAGAGGAAGAAACTGGAAGAAGGGAGAGGGGTTTTGGTCAGGTTTGTTGAGGTGGTGGAGGTAAAATAAGACGGAGGAGAGCGTCGGCCTGGGTCGTAATGCTCGATGCAACATCACGCCGACCTGCCCGATTCAGCGACGCACCTTACTGGAGTTGACCCAGGGGGCTGGTAACCTGACGTCGAGGCCTGTACCATTTGTCCGAGGGCCAAGTGCCAAGTCGGACAAACAGAGAGTTGTTGGTAGATCCGTCAGATATGAGGTTTTGATTGCTGTGTTGATATGAGAGCCCAGACTTACTAACTGGCAGGCGAGAAAAAAAGAAAAAGAAAAGAAAAAGAAAATCAAGAAGACACACGACGACGTGCTGAAAATGCACGTTCACGACATCTCTGTAACGACCGATATTGGTCCAATCTAATCTGTACAGCGGTACGTATTTAGTTGTGCCGCCGGTAGAAGGATTTATACAACCGCCAGGAGGATGGCCAGCACAATTACCACCCAACCCTTTGGCTTGTCCCAGGGGTTTGGCCAAAAGGGGCCTAGAGGCTACTGGGTCGGTGACAAACGTTGAACTTTTAAATATCGCGGTACCACATCATTTAGCAAGAAACGAACAGGGGGGGTCGTTGGGCAGTGCATGCCGTACTCGTCAATGGTTCTACAATTGATCGAGACCTTGGCTTGAACTGGGCCGCAAAAATGCCGGCAAGGCCCTGGCATTAGAGTTGTTTGTTGGCCCTCTGTGGTTTGTAACTGCAGCTGAGTGGAATTCAACGAAAGGGTGGGGTCAGAAAGGGGTGGTGGTGGTCGATGTTGATGCCTGGGGGCTTAAACGGCGGCCGTGAACGCATGTAAGGGACGACTACTTCAAAAGTCACACAGGGGTTCCGTGCTGTTGGTATGGGGAATGGAGTCAATCATTTCGTGATGTCCAATGAAATTGTGGTCTAGACCTCGAAGGAACGGAATTCGTTTCTGCTACCGGGATTAAGGTCGGCTTTAAATTTAGGTAGCTACCTAGGTAGGTCAAGGGGAGGAGGGACAGTTCCAAGAACTTATAAAGAAGACTGAAGTAGCCAATTTGTTTACTCCTCCGTTCTTTCTTGTCTTCCCGCACACTTTCCCCTGTCCGCCTCTCCTTACATCCCGTTGAGGGTAACACATAAACGACTAGAAGACACCATCAGCCATGGCAGCACCACAGCCCTCGTACACCAAGGTGACACACTCGGCCACCTATCCGGCGATCAACCCGACCCTCCCCTCTCTCTCCTCCACCGGCAAGGTGGTGGTCATCACGGGCGCAACAGGCGGCATCGGGCGGGCGGCGGCGCTCTCGTTTGCGGCTTCGGGTCCCAAGGCGCTCGTACTGCTCGGCCGGCGCAAGGACGCGCTGGCCGAGACGGTGCTGTTGGTCCGTACCAGCCATGACTCTCTCACGGTCGAGTCCCACGCCGTAGACCTCGTTGACAGCGGCAAACTCCGCCAAGTCTTTGCCGACGTTGCGGCCGCCCATGGCGCCATTGATGTGGTGATCCACGCGGCGGGCGTGCTAGCCCCCGTGGTACCGCTCGTCGACGCCGACCCGGCCACGTTCCTCGACGGCTACAAGACGACCGTGGTCGGCACGCTGTCCCTGGCGCAGGCGCTGGTGCTGGGCAATGGGAAGGGCAAGGAGGCGACGCTCGTCAACCTTACCACGGCCGGCATCTTCTTCCCGCCATTCCCCGGCATGGGCGCCTATGTCAGCTCCAAGATGGCCGCCGTCAAGCTGCTGCAGGCCTTTGGCGCCGAGAACCCCCACGTTCGCATCCACCACGTCCACCCGGGCTTCCTCGATACGGCCATGTCCGCCCAGCTGTCCAAGACCACCAAGTTGCCCTTCAGCTTCGACGACAGTAAGACTCACTCCCCTTTATGTCAATGCTATTGATCAAACGCTCATCTGCGTTTCTCCCTAGTCTCCCTTCCCGCCGATTTCTTGGTCTGGGTCGTGTCGTCCGAGGCCAAGTTTCTCAACGGTAAAGTTGTATTTGCCGCCTGGGACGTCGATGAGCTCAAGAGCCGCGAGAAGGAGATCGTTGGCACCTCCCCTCTTACTGGCGAGTTGTGGGTAAGCTACTCGGGGTTCCCACGCTACGTTGGCGGCCACGCGCTCGGAGGACGGTAGAAGTCTTGGTTAAACAGTGGAATGAGCCTCAATACACTTTTTCTCCGTTCCTCAGTCCGTACGAATCTCCCCGCAACTGTGTTCTGCATGTGACAACCATGAATAATGAAACGGACAGGTTTACCCAGGATCTCCAGACCTGAAACATGAACCCCTACCCACGCGAGCTTTAGTCCCACAGGCCTTCGATCATCTTGAGTAGATCGTCGTTTCGATTCTGTTCTTCAGCCGACTCATCGGTATCATAAACGCCATCATCGTAAATTCTCCATTCATAACCGTACTCCGAACCCTCTGAATGATAACAGTCTTCGTCAGAATCGCAAAACGGGTACTCTGAACAGTAGGAATAGCTTGTCTCGTCTAGACCCAAAACATCAGCTTAATGAAAGTTCCTTCGTCGTATCAGGATGCGGATACCTTGCTCGATTGTGGTTTGCCACCACGTATCCTCAGAGTAACTTGTTTCATGTTGGGTTCCCGACACCGCTCTACTACGCACAATGCACTGGGATGGGATGCAGTGGAGGAACAGCAGCTCATGGGCCGAGTGCGGGTTCTCGATCTCCAACTTGTCCATCAGCAACTCCATATCCAGAATCTCGACGCCGATCGACAACCGTGCCGTGTCGATCTCATGGATGTAGGCTGGGGGGTCTCTCCGCTCGCGTTGTGCGGCCCAGTTCACTGCGTGGTTCTCGTCGTTGAAGACCGACAGGAAACAGCTTGGTTGGGAGCTATACCAGTTGATATGGTCCTGGACTGCTTCCTTAAGTTCGGCCTCATCATGGAACACGCGCGAGTCGTCTGCTGCGAGGAGATCCCCATTGTCCTCTCGAGATTGGGAGTTGCCGTGCGTGACCCTCCAAAGCTTTCTTGGGCGATGGACACACCCGTATTCGTCGAGAGCGAAGGGTTCTGCCATTTATCAAGAAGCAGCTCTGGGAGTACGGTATGTATTGTTCCTGGGCTGGGGACACTTCTGGTGCTGAAAGGGAAAGAGAAAAGGGTAGCATAAAGCCAGAATCCCTGGGAACGAGCAGGAATTAGGACCATTAGTCAGGCAGCATTGTGAAGATCTCCCTCTGCGTTGTTTGCCTGCAAGAACCCGAAAACTGGGTGGCTGTGCTGCCGTCGTGTAACTATCAGAGACTACCGTACCTACATGTACATACATACCCCAACCAGAACATCCTAGTCTCTCCTCCTCTCTAAGAGTTCTTCACCATCCAAACAC